GTGCCCTCCAGCCGGGGCCCCCGTCCGCTGAGCCGGCCCCAGCGCCTTCCCGCTCCCCCGGTGCTGGTTAAATGTTAACGGGCACGGAGCCCTTGCGCGCCCGGCGCTGCTCCCTGAGCATTGCTCTGCAAGTAAAATTTAATTACCGCCCTGCGAGGTCGGTGCTGTTACGGTCCTCGACCCACCTGGCTCCTTGAGTTTGCACCTCTTCCAGCTGCCTTGATTTTAGGATTGTTATCTGGGATTGGAATCCGCTTTTCAGTGGTAGCCACCGGACTCATCTTTCGAGAGAGGCTGGTTCTCAAAACTACAGGGTTAAGAAGTTTAGCTTGGACTTCCGAGAAGACTAAATTCTAAAGTGCAATACCTAGTTTACAAATACCTCGGAATGCAAGAGCCGAATCGCTACCACCATGAGTTTGTAAAAGGACAAGTTATCCTCAGGCCCTATGTTAAAGAGAAGACTGGCTTGTCATGTTGACAAGCTTAAAAGGGATCCCATGGAAACCAGTAAGATGCTGGTATTTTTCCTTGCATATCTCCTTAGAGATTTCCTTTCCTTCTCCTTAGAAGGACACTGAGTTTCTGGTGGTTAAATATCTGCCAAAATGCTCTCCAGGGATGACATTTTGGGTCTCCCGGTACAGGTGACCTGGAAGGGAGCAGGTGCTGTTTGGGGGAAACGAAACAGTAAGCTTTCAGTACAGTTTTTCTCAAGTGAAGTTTTCAGACAAATGTGATGTAACTTTTATAAACTTTGGGAACATTTCGGCTTACCTTTTTAACATCATTCTGACTGCTTTCCTGAGTGTGAGACACAGGTGCCAAGTGTTTTGGCAATTTTGCATTACCCAAAGGCCATCTCATTTATGTATCTGTCCTTGGTCCTCATTAATGATTTATTCGTAACAGCAGCTAACAGACCCAATATTGCTTTTATATAGGCAGTCGTTCTCAACCTTCTGGCCCTTTAAATACAGTTCCTCATGTTGTGACCCAACCATAAAATTATTTTTGTTGCTATTTCATAACTGTAATGTTGCTACTGTTATGAATCATAATGTAAACATCTGATATGCAGGATGGTCTTAGGCGACCCCTGTGAAAGGGTTGTTCGACCGCCAAAGGGGTCGCGACCCACAGGCTGAGAACCGCTGATCTAGAGGCATACCTTGGAGATACTGTGGGTTAGGTTCCAGACCATCACAGCAAAGCTAGTCCTAATCCCTTTTGCAGGTGGAAGGTCTTGCCTTCAATTTGTAAAAAACGCAGCATCTGTGAAGTGCAGTAAAGCTAGAAGCACAGTACAACCAGGTATGCATGTATTCACTCTCTTTGTATCCTGACCCTGAACCTCCCTTTGTCCCAGCAACATGGTGTTTACTTCTTAGTAATATTTAGGGGGATTTGTCAAAATTTGGGTGTGCCTATGGAAGTAAGTTGTGCATCTGCCAGGAGAAAGAGATTCACCTTTCATTTGGTGAAAAGATCTCTGGATTGGGGGTGGGTGAGAAACACTGTCTTAGATCACCTTATCTCTCCCCCTCTTTCTTTTGAGGCTTTCATAGACTCGTTCCCCGCACCCCACACCCATATGTTCTCACTCCCTGCTATTCTGTCCTCAGTCCTGTTCTCCCACGCTAGGCTCTCTTTTTCCAGGCACCCTCTTCTCCTATAGTTTTAATGGTTATTTTAAAAACTGTACATCTTTTAGCCTGGGCTCTATTCTGAATTCCAGACATATTCAAATCCTTCCCTTGATATGTCCACTGGATCTCTTATGGGTACCTCACATTGAATCCCTAAACTCTCATCTGGCTAGACTGTGAGCCACTGTGACAGGTGGCATTTTATCGTGTCCAAATTAGAGGCTGAGGATCATATCTTGTACATTTCATCTCCTAGCATCAGAACCTTAAAGCCCTCCTTTGGGAGGGACATTATTTTCCGTCCCTCATGCTGCCTCAGAGGGGAGAAAATTTGCACTTGACTCGAGGGAAAAGGATAGGAGGATCATTTCCCCCTTTCTTTATGATTGATGAAACTGGAAGGAGGAATTGGACATGCTCAGTTATTTCTGTATCCTCCTTGTTTGCCTAAATTTAGCAGATTGAATATGTTCTGATTTGTCTGTATTTCTACCTGTATGATAAGCATAAAGGGTCTAAATTTAAGATTTATAGATGTTGATTTGGATTATGATAAGTATCAGTTATTGGTGATTTAAATCTCAGTGTACTTTGAGGCTTTTAAAATAAAGGCATACTTTTAACATCATTCTGACTGCTTTCCTGAGTGTAAGACAAAGGTGTTTGAGCAAGTGTTTTGGCAATTTTGCATTACCCAAAGGCCATCTAATTTATGTATCTGTCCTTGGTCATCATTAATGATTTATTATTAACAGCAGCTAACACATTGATGTATACAAAGACTATGAAACTATAATAAGAATTAATAAAAACAGCTGTGATTTGTGATTTCTAAGTGTCAGGTGTGCCATACATTTTATATGCATCATTTTGTTTTTTCTTCAGAACAACTCTGGAATAGATATTTCTATTTTACAGAAGGGGAAACTGAATGATAGAGAGGTTAAGGAATGTATTTGAGGTCAGTCACATACAGGTTATTAGTGATTGAATGGGGTTTCAAATCCAGGTTTTTCAGCTAAACTGTTTTCCTGAAAACTGTTTATCATCTACATACTGTGTACACAGGTACTGGGGAAAAAATAAACCTGGTACTATCTTGAAAAATGTTGTGTCCAGTTTTACATTGTATAGTGAAAGAAGATAAAGAACCCCATTTAGGTTTCTTTCTGGTAACAATTTTAAAATTCTTATTCTATTTTATACTTAGGCTGTACACATTGACTCAGTCTCTCTGAATTATTAAGTAATTCTTGAATAATTTTGTAGTTGAAATTGTTTTATGTAAGTTGTCACATGCTTTAGGAAATAAGAAAGAGAAAGTAGTCATGACTGCTAGAAACTGGCTCTGCTATCACCAAGGCTTTAGTGTTGCTAGGAACTGGCCTGACAATACTGCTTAGGCTTGGTGTTCTTCTGTTGAAGATAAACACTTGTACAGAACATCAACATCACACTGAGGCTGCTTCGTGTGTCTATGATGGATCAAGACAAAAACACCACTACTCCATAATCACGTCCAAACACAGACAAAACATGAATGTTGTCCAAGCCACAAAATGCCAGACAGCTCTTCTCCCACCTAATAGGAGTGACTGCTGCCTCTACCAGTTAAAGCTTTGGCCTCACCCTGCAGATAAGACTTTACTAAGATGTCCAGTCATAGTTACCCCACTTCCTGACAGGATTGAATCTGGAGCAAAGCTCCACTTCCTTAAATCCTCCTCCAAATCACCTAACACAATCCCGAGCCCTGTAAGTCTTTTCTAACACCCTCTTATTAAATAAGGACACATCTCTCCATGCAATGAGTAATAAACCCAAATAGTTTAACTACAGTAGTGTTCCTGTGTTCTTTGTCTGGAGGGCATTGCCAGGAGAAAGCTTACTAGTACTATCTTTGACTTTTTAGTTTAATAGTAGAGATATACTCGAATCAGATTAGAGAGTAGAACAAAATTAGAAATGGTTAAACAAACTTATATCCAATAAATCTCATATTTTAGCTCTTGCATATATTATACTCACTACCATTGTTTAAAAATGTATTTTATTACTATGGTTACTATTGTAGAAAATCAATTCTAGCATTTATAATAGATGTTAAAGTATTATATGAAAAGGAAATTTAAGTATGTATAAATTCAAGAGAGAGAACTTTCAAGTCCGGTTAAATCAATGAACATGTTATATTAATAATTGTTAACAGAATTATGTGGAGGCCTTACTTCAGAGTCAAAAAAGGCTTGTTAACTTTTTTTAGATTAATGGCATTTCTGCTTAAATTATGTATAAAGTCCTGTAGCAAAGTATATGTGTATATATACATATAATCCAAACATTATTATTTTTTCTATCAGACATAAAATATTTAGGAAAATTTGGGGATTTTAAGTGATTTTTATTTTCAGCATGAAAAGTACTATTTACTGTTGAGCTGTTTTGAATTTTCACTAGGAAAAATCTTTTGTGACAAATAGCAAGTTAAAAATGGCTAAATATATTAACTTGTTGGCTTGGGATATATTTGCTATAGCCATTTTTAAAAACTGTTCTTTTTGGAAGTAAATAATAGAATGAAGTTCATATTACGTACTACTTAACATATAAGTTTCAACATATTTGTTTAGGGTAAAGCTCGCTTGTCTGCATTTTTACATGTTATTATCCCTCAAACATTAAATTCAGTGGGTGCTTTTTAAAAACTCTCTTACTTTTGATACTGCTGACTAGTTCTTTCTCATATTTCTTTTTCTTGCCAAATTATGTTGACTTACTTTCTTTATTATCCTTCTTTTAGTTACTACTCCTTTGTTTTTTTTCTTGTTCAATTCTTTTGTTACCCCCTCAAAGGAACATTGCCCAGAATGTACTTCTGTCCCATTACTTTCCCCCTCCCCCACCTGTGCTCATTTACTACAGCTTCAACTGTTATCTTTAAAATAGTTAACTCTTTCTTCAAGGTTCTCTTACTGGCTTCAAATCAGTTTTCATTACTTTTTTTATTGTTGTTAATCCTCACCATAGGATATCTTTTTCATTGATATTTAGAGAGAGTGGAAGAGAGGGAGGGAGAAACACACATACATACATACATACATACATACATACATTTCTGTGAGAGAGACTCATCAATTGGTTGCCTCCCTATCAAGACTGGGGATTGAACCTGTGACCCAGGTACATGCCCTTGACTGGGAATTGAACCTGCGACCTTGGGCTGACACTCTAACCCAGCGGTTCTCAACCTGTAGGTCGTGCCCCCTTTGGGGGTCGAACAACCCTTTCACAGGGGTCGCCTAAATACATCCTGCATATCAGATATTTACATTACAATTCATAACAGTAGCAAAATTACAGTTATGAAGCAGCAACGAAAATACTTTATGGCCGAAACCGGTTTGGCTCAGTGGATAGAGCATCGGCCTGCGAACTGAAGGGTCCCAGGTTCGATTCCGGTCAAGGGCATGTGCCTGGGTTGCGGGCACATCCCCAGTGGGGGGTGCGTAGGAGGCAGTTGATCGATGTTTCTCTCTCGTCGATGTCTCTGACTCTCTATCTCTCTCCCTTCCTCTCTGTAGAGAATCAATAAAATATATTAAAAAAATAATTTTATGGTTGGGGGTGACCACAGCATGAGGAACTGTATTAAAGGGTCGCGGCATTAGGAAGGTTGAGAACCACTGCTCTAACCACTGAACACACTGGCTAGGGCTAAAATAGTTAATTCTTAAATAAGCATCCAATGTGATCCATTTCCTTGAATTTGAGTCTTGAATTTCTAACCAACAGCTGGAAATTTCCATTAGCATGTCTTACTAGCTCCAGCTTAACACATCTAAGCCAAACCTTTGCAAACCAGTCAGCTTCTTCTGACCTATTTCTGTCTAGGATTCTATCCATATTTAGTTTCTAGGACTTAAAATTTTGGTCATCAGTGGCTCCTTTCCTGCCACCTATCCAGTTAGTCACTAAGTTTCATGGGTTTTTGAAAAATATGTATTTTAAAAAGTACTAGGTTCATTGAGGAAAGGATAGTCTTTTCAAAAAAGAGGACTGGAATCGTTTTATAGCCATGCAAAAAAAACCCAACCCAACAAAAAACACAAAACAAAACAAAATACACACACCCACACACACAAAACAACAAAAAAACACACACAAAAAACACCAAACCAACCAAAAAACTGAACCTTACACTATTACACTATTTGCAAAAATTAACTTAGAACAGATAATAGATTTAGGTGTAAGAGAGAAAACTATATAACTTCTAAAAGAAAACATAGAAGAAAATGTGATCTTGGGCTAAGAAAAAATTTCTTACATATGTCATAAAAACAGTTGATTAAAAGTTGGTGATATATGAATAAATTGGATTTCAAAAATTAAAAAAATTTTTGGATATCGTACAGATGTTTATAGCAGCTCTATTTATAATTTCCCAAACCTGGAAGCAACCAGGATGTCCTTTTTTAGGTAAATAAACTGGTACATTCAGACAATGGAATATTATTCAGCACTAAAAAGAAATGAGCGAGCAAGCCATGACAATTAGAAGCCTTAGCAATGCATGCTAGTCAGTGAAGCCAATACTGTGTAACTATATGACATTCTGGAAAAGACAAAACTATGGAGACTGTAAAAAGATCGGTGGTTGGCAGGGATTACAGTGGAGGGAGGGATGAATAGCTGGAGCACAGAGGACTTTCGGGGCAGTAAAACTACTCTGTATGTTTCTACAATGGTGGATACATGTCATACATGTCTCCAAACCCATAGAATATACAACAACACGAATGAACTCTAATGTAAACTGGATGTGCCAATGTGGGTTCATTGATTGTAACAAATGTACCCCTCTGGTGGGGGATGTTGATAACAGATTAGGCTATGCATGAGTGGTGTAGGATATGTGGTAAATCTGTATCTTCTGCTCAATTTTTCTGTGAATTCAAAACTGCTCTAAAAAAATAAAGTCTTAAAAAAAACCACATGACAAGAAAACTTAAAAACCATCCACAGACTGTGGGTGTGTAGTGGGGATGGTAGTGGCTGTTCGTCGTCTTTTTTATTTTTCAGATATTTTAATATATTACTGATTTCAGAGAGGAAGGGAGAGGGAGAGATGGAAACATCATGGATGGGCTGCCACCTACACAACCCCCTCTGGGGATTGAGCCTACAACCCAGGCATGTACCCTGACTGGGAATTGAACCAGTGACCTCTTGGTTCATAGATTGACACTCCCACTGAGCCACACCAGCCAAGCTCTTTTTAGATATTTTAAAGTATGTTGTCGGTGTTTGAGGGAGTTTTGAGAGCAGGCGGGCATCTTTTAATCAAGCTTGTTTGAAGTTTTCAATTTGATAAGTGAGATTGGAAAGTAAATGTAGACTAAGCCTGCATGTTATTAGCCTAAAAATACTCAGATGGAGTTGAGCTGTGCTCATTGCAGTGTTGTTTTTCTTTTTTGTTTTTTTTTTACAGATTCTGAAAAATGGCTGATAATTTGGATAAATTTATTGAAGAGCGCAAAGCCAAATTGGCCCAAGAAAAAGCAGAATTGGAAAGTGATCCGCCTTACATGGAAATGAAGGTAAAGTTGATCGTTTCCTTCAAATATGTTTCATTAAAAATGGTTTCTGAAGATTAGCCCTGTGTAAATGCAAACATCCTCTTCTCTGAGTCAGAATCTTTAGTTCTGTACTGTAGTTTGGCTGTGCTGTGGGAGCCTGACTCAACAAGATTTCAAATGCAGTTTTTTATTTGTGGTATTTTATATCTCACAGTTTCTCCTCTGTAGAGCTTTAATTAGTACTTTATGTGCTTCATAAAATGAATAGGGGGCTAGGTCTAATATAGGGAACTTTCAGAATAGAAACATAATAGATATGAAAGCAAGTTCTCATTCTCTGTGGGAAAAGTTAATATTTTAATGAATCATTAGCTTAACAATTTTTTGAAGCCTACAGTGAATTTATTAGAATAGTTATTTTGTGTACTTTATTTTCAGAATGTAAATTTATTAAAATGTTTCTGAAAGCAGTGTCTGCAAAAGCTTTCTTAAACTTTCCTAATTTTTGTTGAAAGTGATTCATCCATTTTAGCAAATACTTACTGAGATTGTGCTAGGGTACTGTCCTAGGCTCTGACAATACAGCACTAATTTAGATGTGGCACCTCCTCTCATGGGCTCAGTATATGTAATAAGATACAGGGTGTGGATTAATCTGTGCCATATGGTCCTTCATAATGAAGGTAATCACATACTGTATATTGGTTTGCCCAAGATAGTCCTGGTTTACCTTTTGTTCCAGTGTCTCATCTGATTTATCATCCGTCCTGGACAAAGGTATCCTGGTTGAAATGATAAATAATATGGGCATCCTGATTATAACGGAACTTACATAGCTAACATTTATTGTATGCAAAACATGAATAAGGCAAAGTCTTACGAGGTTACATTGATATTTCACATGAGTCTATGAGATAAGTACTGTTGTTATCATTATCCAAATGAATAAGCTGTGGCATGGAGAAATTAAGTACTGTAATGTGACTAAAGTGATAGCAGAACATGGCTTTGATTCCTGGCAACCTGAATCCTATGCCTGTTCTCTTAACCACCACACTAGGTTGTCTTTCTGCCATCATACCTGCCTCTTACAAGGAATGATAGGAAGGACTTTAGATGTATTATCACATTTAATCATAATATCCCTGTGAAGTAGATGGAATTTTTTGTATTTGTTTTACAGATCAAGAAAGTGAGGCTTAAAGGGGTTAAATAATTTGTCCAGGTACGTAAGAGGTGGATTCAGGATCCGAATCTTCATGTATCCAGCTCCAAAGTCCATTCTCTTAACTACTCTCTACAGTGATGGCGAGCCTTTTGAGCTCAGAGTGTCAGCATTTTGAAAAACCCTAACTTAACTCTGGTGCCGTGTCACATATAGAATTAGGACTAGTTTACAGTGTTTGGCAAGAGTTATTACATAGCTTTAAATGCTTTATTATAATTTCCAATATTAAATAGTACATAAATAATAATGTTTTAAGTCTTAGTTCAAGTATCACCTATTCAGTGAGGCCTTGCAGTCTGGCCCCCAACATTTTTGGGCCTCTATACCTTGCTGTATTATTTCCCTTACCTATTACATAGACTACCTATGTAATAGGTAGGTTCCTCCCTACCTATTACATAGACTAATTATGTATTATATTTATTGTTTGTGTCCCCAATAGTTTATAAGCTCCAGGGAGGCACAGATTCTTAACTTTTTTTTTTTCACTCATGGATTTCCGTTGCCTGGGACACTGCCTGGCAGGAACTCAGTGACTGTTGATAAGTGAATGAGCTAAATATTAGGACATTTATTATAGTATTAACTGCTTTTGTTTAATTCCCTAAACTTGACACTTAAATTTCTTCTACCGTGTACCATGTAATTTTGTCAAGTTGTTTAATAAAAGTACTGAGATTAATTGTATATTTTGTAGGGTTTTTTTCCCCCCTCTGCTTTTATAAATATTATATCTCTTTCAGGGAAAGGCATCAGAGAAGCTTTCTGAAAACAGTAAAATATTAATCTCCATGGCTAAGGAAAACATACCACCAAACAGCCAACAGACCAAGGGTTCCTTAGGTATGTCATTAGGTGTGCTGAATTGATTTTAAGATATTCTAAGCAGGCTGTTGTGAAAGAGCTTTGTCTTGTAAGAAATTAAAGGTATTTTTAGAATCATGGTAACTCTTTCCTTTCTGAAATCTTACATGTGAAATAATAATATATACTGAGAACCTTGTACCTTTTTAAAAATGCTATTGCGTTGATTATATTTATGGGATGATAGCAGTAAGTATAACTAATAACAAATTAATTGAAACATTTGAGTGTGTGTGTGTTTATGAGAGAGAGATTGAGAGAGTGAGAGAGTTAATTATTGAACAAAAATGGACTTGCCTTTATTTAAAAATCAAAAAAATATGCTTAATGGATACAAAATGCTGTTAGTGAAAGACCATTTTATCATTTTTTAATTTTTTATTTTTTGAAAGACCATTTTAATTGTTAATGACTATATATTAGAATTGTAAAGAAATTAATTCTGCAGCTATACTAATTCTTTGATTATGGTTTGGTATGACAATATTTGTAAACTTTTTACCATTTTTTTAATCAAAAAATTTATTGATTATAAGGGGATGTTGGCCAAGAGATTGAATAGTTAGTGGGCTCTTTGTCTCTACTAGAAAACCAGCTCAAAGTGGACCTCAGTAAATAGATAACGCTTTCAACTCTGATTTTCTTAAAAAATTATTGGCTAGTACACAGCTTCAGTGAACTTAAGTATAATACGTATTTTGGTTAAGTTCCTTAATCTCTAAGGCCCTCAATTTTTTTTATCTGTAACATAAAGGAATTGGATGATCTTTTAGACCTAAATTTTTCTGAATCAAAAGTTTGATTCTAAATATAATATTTTAAAAGTTTTGCCGAGACCGGCTTGGCTCAGTGGATGGAGCGTCGGCCTGCGGACTGAGGGGTCCCGGGTTTGATTCCGGTCAGGGGCATGTGCCTGGGTTGCAGGCACATCCCCAGTGGGGGATGTGCAGGAGGCGGCTGATCGATGTTTCTCTCTCATCGATGTTTCTGACTCTCTATCTCTCTCCCTTCCTCTCTGTAAAAAATTCAATAAAATATATTAAAAAAAAGTATAATGGCAGGTTTTCTCAAGCACTAAGGTCAGATAGAATTACTTTGAAATTCTGGGGTTGCATGTTGCTTTGGGCTGTGGCTGTCATGGCCTTGTGACCTAGCACATGTTATTTAATCTGTTTCCTCATTTTAAGAATTGGCATTTAACTTAAAAGGCTACTGTGGCAATAATCTTCTATCTATACTAATAATCTATACTAATAAAAGGGCAATATGCTAATTAGACCTGGTCAACTGGGTATCTTCCGGTCATCCGGTCCTTCTTCTGGGCAAAGCCACGGTGGTGGGGGCCGAGGCAGAGGCATTTTTAGGGGTGATCAGGCTGGCAGGAGAGGGTGGTTAGGGGCAATCAGGCCGGCAGAGGGGTTAAGGGTGATCAGGCAGGCATTCAGGTGAGTGATTAGGAGCCAGTGGTCCTGGATTGCGAGAGGGATGCCTGCAGGGATCGGGCCTAAACCAGCAGTTGGACGTCCCCCAAGGGGTCCCGGATTGGAGAGGGTGCAGGCCAGGCTGAGGGACCCCCCTTCCCCATGCACGAATTTCGTGTACCGGGCCTCTATTATGTATGTGTGAGTATGTGTGTGTGTGTGTATACATACATATATATATATTCCTAATATGCAAAGTGTCCCCTTGGGAGTTTGACTGGGAGTTCAATCATTCGCTATGACGTGCGCTAACCACTAGTGGGTGGTGTGGAACAAAAGAAGGCCCCCACCAGCAGCCAGCAGCCCCCAGGGACTCTACCCATTCACGAATTTCGTGCGCTAGACCTCTAGTCGAATACATATGAAAAGATGACTGCACATAATTGGTGGACAATAAATGTTTTTTTCCCGACCTCTTTTACATCTTTTTAAAAGTTGGTTTTTGACTTTTGAGAATTATATTAAGAATTACTCTTTTATTATTGCATTCACAAATGATGGTGAATTTAAAATTGAAGATACAGTGACCTCTGCCTGTTCCTTGGGGCTCTGTCTTAGTCCCTCTTTTCATTTCATACATTCTGGTTTTATTTACTGTAAGTGTATTCATGACTCATAAACCTCTATCTCGTTCCCAATTTCTTTTATGAACTACAGATCTGTATATCTAATTTCCTATTGGACATCTTTACTTGGATGCCATGACCTCAAAATCAACATGTGCTACATTGATTTTGTTCCTCTCTAACTTTTGGTGCTCTGGGGAGCTGGTTGCCTAGTCTTCCTTGACTCCTCTCTTCCCTTAATAGTCTAAGCAAGTAATTCCACACATCGAATTGATTCTAATGCCTAAACCTCAATATGTTTACTTTTCTCTGATCCCATAGATGTTATTTTATGTGGGCCTCCGTTGTTTCTCACTTAGATTGTTTTCTTCCTAGTGTTCTTTTGTTTTACAGTCTACCCTCTGTACTCAGTCCCTTCACTGCCCATTGATATCCTTCCAAAAACCAAATCTCAGCTTCAAACCTTTCAATGGCTGCTTGTTCCCTGTATGATGATTTTACCCTTTTATTACTTTTACCACATTGTGTTGGTCATTTTTGCCTTGTGCTCCTATAGCATTGGTTTTTCCCTTGAAGAACAGTTTTGAACTTGTTGCACAGTCTATTGGCTGCCAGCTTGCCTGACACTGTACATTCACTGCCTAGCACAGTGCGGTACTTAGAGAAGATATTTTGAATGAAGGAGTGAAGGTCTCCATTGCAAAAATGAATAGTTCTCTTGGATGTGTGAGATTTACTTTTCATGGAATGTTTTCTTTTATTGCCAACTGAAGCAGTAATTATTTTTGATGGTCATTGAGTTTTATTAAAGAAGAATATGTAATTAGACTAATTTTATACCTTATCAGCATTCAGTTACTGACCTCTTGCCTGAATAACTGTGGCCTTAAAATTAGGTTAAATATGTAATTTTTGATAATGGGAAAAATATAATTTGGCAGTAGTTTTCCTTAGATGGTCTTATCTAAGAATTATAAAACAAACTGGAAATAAAGATTAGTTTTGGAAACTATATATTAAATTAAAACTGTGATACCATACTTTGAGTAATTAGAAATATATAAATGGGTAATATTCATTATTTATATATAATATTCAATATTCAATATTTATATATTTCTAATAGTAGCTATTAGAAATATATAAATGGGCAATATTCATTTTAGCTAATGAAAGCAATCTATTGATAATTCATAGTTCAACTCTCATGCAACAGTACGTTTTTATGATTTTGTAAATTGTTGTGTTAGATATTGATGATATTCATGGATAAGGCTTATCTATGTGGCTCATTCTTTCACCATTATACCTCTCACAAAAGGATTTGAGGAGCATTACAATGACCTCTGACACCAACTACCCAAAGTCTAAACTTCACAGATTAAGGGCACAGTCCTCCTCAAGACTTCTCTTACCTAAAGCACCAGATGCAAGTTCAGGGGTCCAAAGCCATCCTCACTTCTATCTAGCCGGCTACAAATATGGGGGCGTTTACACTACCCCTCAAGTTTGATAATTCACTAGAATGACAGAACTCAGGAAGGTGGTATACTTACTATTGTAGTGTTATCAGAGCAAAAAAATATAAATCAGAACCTGCCAAAGGGATAGACGCATAGGGGATGGTCCGAGAGAGTCCAAACATGAAGCTTCTGTCAGCCTCGGGGATCCGTCACACTCTAAGCATATCAATATGTGACAATGTAAAGACTGTTGACAACTGGGATGCTATCTGAGCTTTGATGTCCAGCGTTTTTATGGAGTTTCATAGTGTAGTCGTGATTGATTGAGCCATGTGGGCAATGATTCAATCTCTAGATCCCTTACTTTGAGGTCAGGCTGATGTCAGATGGCTCAAAGGTCTAATGGTACTATCACATGATTGGTCTTTTCTGGTGTGACCAGTTCCCATCTGTGCCATCTCTTTAGCACAAACTACCTAAGGGCTCACCATGAATCACCTTATTTGTATAAACTATCAGGTATGGTCATGGGGATCTACCACAAAGACCTTTCTATCACTTGAAAAATTCCAAAGATTTGAAGCTACCTCCCAAGGTCCACTGCCATTTGTGTCCAGCTTTGGGCCACATAGCGGGAGCTACACAATGATCTGCAGTTGGTTGTCACTTATGCTGGGCTTGGAGGGACTTGGGAGAGGCTGTGCTGCAAATTGAGGCCGACTTTTGACCTGCTGCCAACACGAGTCCAGAGTGAGTCCAAGTGCAGGCCCCTCAAGAGGAACACCTGGGACTCCAGCAACCCTCTATCTCACTTGGACATAAGCCATGCCAGTTTTCAGGGGCAGATGTTATGGGGACTCCTTGGCTATTTTACCCTGAACTGGAAGCCCAGTGTGAGGCTGGGACTCCTCGCCCTTTGGGAGGGTACTTCTGAAACTGAGATATCCCTTCTGATTCTTTTTTTATTTTTAAATATATTTGATTGATTTTTTACAGAGAGGAAGGGAGAGGGACAGAGAGTCAGAAACATCGATGAGAGAGAAACATCGACCAGCTGCCTCCTGCACACCCCCCACTGGGGATGTGCCCACAACCAAGGTACATGCCCTTGACTGGAATCGAACCCGGGACCCTTCAGTCCGCAGGCCACTGAGCCAAACCGGTCAGGGCCCTTCTGATTCTTAATCATCGCATTGTGGGTGCAGGCCTGCCCATTCCGCATTTCTGCCTTCCACCTGTCTCATTGTGACTTCTGTGAATTATGTTTAGCTAGTTTTCAGGTAGTTCTCAAAGGTGATAGTTTGGTTCTATAATTTAGTTTGAATTTTGACTACTGTTGTGGGAGGAGGTGAACACAGTGTTTACCTACTTTACTATCTTGACCATCCTCGTGCGGTAATCACTTAGGAATTTACAAGGGCTTTAGGAGCCCTGTGTCAGGAATGGGGTCAAAGACAAATATTAGAAGA